TGAAACAGAGGCTTACTCACTCTGTCCCCAGGCCTGGCCTGTGGTTTCTCCCCCCCTACCCTATCACCATAACTATGACAGTAATAACTGGCATCATTGTTTTATTTGTCCATTTGTGTGTTAGCCGTCTCTACACTAGACTGGGGCCCCATGAGGAAGGGGCTGACATCAGCCTCAGGCTCTGGAGCCCAGCGCAGCTCTTTGTCCATTGAGAGCTGCAAGAGCTTGGGAGCTGCACATGTGCTGGTGCAGCTGTGGGTGGTGTGACCCTTGCGTATGCAGTGGGAGCTTCTCAGCGGCAGCTCTGTTGGGCTCAGCCCTGATGGAATTGCATGCCTCCTTTCTCCCCGTGGAGAGACACATATGTGACAGTGGCACAGATCGTTCATGGGTAAAGCATTTCCTGTCTGGATTCTCTGGTCATCGGGGGCTGTCCCATGTGGGGCGTCTAAGTCCCCACACTCTTCCTGTGCTGAGAAACAGGCACAGTAGCAGGCAGTCCTCAGGTTAGGGGTCATTGTGGGGTAGGACGGGGCATAGCTGATGACTGTTGGCATGCAGTTTCTTGCAGTCCGCCCCCTGGTCCTCAATTCCAGCAGTTCACATTTTCCCTTCTCCTTGGATGTCTTCTTGTCCCACGAGACCTTCTTCTTCTCTCTCCTGTTCCATTGGGCACTCTCTTCTTCCCTGTCCCATTAAACTTCCTCCTGTCTGGTGTCTGAGAAAGGAACAAACCAGCTGTGCAAATAGATCTCGTCTGATGCTCGGCATCTCTGTTGGGCCTCAGTACTAGTGAGGGAGGCGGAGGGCAGGGAAGATGGTTGGGAACCACCCATGACTGCTTCCAGCTGTAACTGGATCTCAGCATTACTCACTTTCTGGGAGACTGGAGAGGCCTCTGAATGTGACCTGACAAACCTCTCTGCACTGAGATTCTTCACTCTTTGTTCGTGTTGTGTGAATACTTGGTTTGGTTCCACAAACACCGTCCAAGCACACACACTGCCAGCTTCCGTGCCTCAGCCTCAGTACATGAGCATGATGTTTCTCTGTCCTGGAAAGTTGGCAGGGAACTTACAAGTCACCTGGTCTCAAGTACTTCCTGGGCAGAATCACAGAGTGAGGCCTGGGAGGTGGAGTGATGAGTCAGGACCCAGAGCTTCAGTGGGGCCTGGCCCCCCACCACCAGTGCTCTGTCCAGTGGCCTCTGGGGTTTGGAGACACACGTATAGTAACCACAGTGGCCAGGGCTTGAGTATTTGCTGTGTGCTGTGCCTTCCTCATTTCATCCTTGAAGCAGGTGCCATTGTCATTGTCATCCCTGCTTCTTCTTATGCAGGAGGAAATTAACGCTTAGAATAGCCAAGAGTCTTGTCCAAAGTCAGCCCCACACCATGTAGCAGACAGAGCCCCTGGTTCTGTGTGAAGGCCATGTCCTCATCTGCTTTGTAGAATCTGTAAGGACACATAGAGTTGACGAGAGGTGGCTGGTCCCACATCCTTCCGCTAAATGTAGAGAAGGACTTTTTCTTTTTGCTTTTTAAAACCGTGGTAAAATAGACAATGTAAAATTTCACAACTTAGCCATTTTAAAGTATACAATTCAGTGGCATTAAGCACATTCATGTTTTGGGGCAGCCATCACCACCATCCATCTCCAGAACTTGATTTATCTTCCCAGTCTTCATCTCCGTACCCATTAAACACAAACCTCCTTTCCTTCCCCACCAGCCCCATGGCAGCCACCATTCTGCTTTTTTACTGCCTAGAATGTGTATCCTTTTTGACTGGCTCATTTCACTCAGTATAATGTTCTCAAGGTTCATTCATGTTGTGGCATGTGTCAAAACTTTCTTCCTCTTTAAGGCTAAATAATATTTCATTGTATGTATTGTATATATCACATTTCATTTATCAGTTCATCTGCTGATGGGCACCTTGGGTTGTTTCCACCTTGTATTAATCTGCTAAAACTCTATTAGGGCTACAATTTAAAAAAAAAAGATGCCACAGACTCAGTGGCCAAAACATTTGTCACAGTTCTGGAGGTGGAAAGTCCAAGGTGAATGTGTCAGCAAAATTGGTTTCTCCTGAAGCCTCCTCCATGGCTTGCAGACAGCTGCCTTCTCTCTGTGTCCTCACATGGCCTTTTGTCTGTGACCATGCATCCCTGGGTCTCTCTCTCTATTGTTCTAAGGGCACTGGTCAGCCTCACCCTTATAACCTTATTTTACCTCAATTGCCTCTTGAAGGCCTCATCTCCAAATGTAGTTACATTGGAGGTTAGGGCTTCAGTATATGAATTTGGGGGAGACAGTTCAGTCCATAATATATTTCTTGGTTATTATGAATAATGTTCTATGAATGTGGATGTACAAATAGCTGTTAAGAGTCCCTGCTTTCAATATTTTGGGGATGTATACCCAGCAGTAGGCTGACTGGCTCACACAGTATTTCTATTTGTAGAATTACCTATTTTTAGGGATACCTGTTTGTGGAACCACCATTCTGTTTGCTGTTGCAGACAGATGGTACAGCTTGGTGGTAGTAGTTCTAGTAGTGTTAGTCACTCAGTCGTGTCCAGCTCTTTGCGACCCCATAGACTGTGGCCCGCCAGGCTCCTCTGTCCATGGGATTATCCAGGTAAGAATACTGGAGTGGATTGCCATTCCTTCTCCAGAGGATCTTCCCGACCCAGGGATTGAACCTGGGTCCCCTGCATTGCAGGGAGATTCTCTACCGTCTGAGCTACAGGGAAGGTAAGATTTGTTAATTTTCAGAGTAGTTTGCTCCTTGAGAGGTCAGTCCAATTTCCAAGGTCCTTCAGTAGAAAGCTAGACTGGAATCATGCATTTTTGCCTCCCAAATGCTTGATTACTAAAACTTTCCAGAAACCTGGTACCCTTGCTTCTTCTGTACCTCCTATTAATAACCTTGAGCCCTTGCTTCCACATGTAACTGCTGGGAAAACGCCCCAGGGAGGAAGAAGAAGCTGTAAAAAATGGGCTGGCATCAGACAGATGCTTTATCTGAGCTGTGGGCCCTTGGCCGTCAGCCCCTGAGCATGGGGGAGGTTTGTACCAGGTCTTACTCCATCTCTGAGCTGAGCAGAGGAGAGGTCCTGAGCCTGTTTGAAGGAAGTTCTGCCACTTTCAAACTGGCCAAAAGACTAGGGATTTAAGACATTCCTCCATGAGAAGCTTTTGAAAAAACATTTATTTCTTTGGCTGCACTTGGTCTTAGTTGCTGCATAAGGGGTCTTCCATCTTCTTTGTGGCAGGTTGAGATGTTTAGTTGTGGCATGCGGGATCTCACTCTCAGACCAGGTATTGAACCTGGGCCCCCTGCATTGGGAACGAGGAGTCTCAGCCACTGGACCACCAGGGAAGTCCCTCAGTGAGCAGCTTTTTAAAACACAGCTGCGGGTTCATATTTACTCACATCAACAGAAGGATGAGAGTATGTGTGCAGAAAGGGGCTGGGGTGTGAGGAGGTGTGGGGGGTTGGCATTTATGTGGGGTAAGGAATCAGGGTGTCTGGGGATGAGGGGTGGGAGCAGGATATGTGAGTGGGAATTGAGGATGAGGGTGTATGTAGGGGTGTATATAAAGTAGGGTGTTGGTGTGGGGGGAATGGGGATAAAAGGACTGGGGGAGGAGGGATGAGCATGTGTATGGGTGGAGGTGGGTATTTGGTTGTAAAGTATGTGTGGAGTAGAGTATGAAGGTAGAGACTTGGGCATGAGGGTGTGGAGGAGGGGGATGAAGGTGTGTATAGGGTAGGGAGCTGGAGTATGTGTATAATAGAATGCAGGTGTATATATAGGACCGGGATGTGTGTCTGGAGTAGGAAGTGGTAGTTGATTATGAGGGTGTGTGGGGACTAAGTTATATGGAGACAGAGTGTAAGTAGGAGCATGTGTGTATATGTGTGTGTATGTGTATGTGTGTGTGTTGCGTCATAATGGGGGGGGAACCTGTGGCTCTACTTCAGGTAGCACCCCCTGCCCCCCACCGTCCTTTGCCAGAAACCTGTGGGTGGAAGGCCCTGGTCGGTGGAGGAGCTCTGAGGCCGTTGCAGGGAAGAGGGCCCAGCCAGGGACTCGGCGTGACTCACTTTCACCTGCTGGGGTCCGAGTTTGCCCAGCATCTGCATCATGGCAGGATACGTGCGTCAGTCTGTATGACTTTGCTCTTATTAAAACATGGGAAGAATTTAAAATGAGAAATGAAGCTGGGTATGGGGGAGGTTGGCTGGGAGTTATAAACGATGAATCACTTCTCCCTCAGCAATGGGGTCAGACTAAGGGACCAAGGTCATCATCTCCCTCCATCCCTGCCCTCTGTTCTGACAGCAGGCGGCTGTAGCCATTCCATGTGAGAAAAGTAACTTGAGAAGACACACATACACTCACACACACAGACCCCCCCCCCCAGACACAGGCACACAGCCCACGTGCAGATGCAGAAAGGGAGCCCCGAAGCACCTCCCAGCTGCCAGGCGGCCTCTGCGGCAGTAACTCTTTGTGCACTGCGGGCTGCTGCGGGCTTTGCGGAGGAGGGATGCTGGCTTTTATGAATGGTAGCCAGGGAGGGGCTAATGTCATCTGCTCTTGATGTCAGCACAGTGAATGAAACACTTGGAAAGCGTAAAGGCTCAGGCACCCCAGAAGCAGATACCTTCTCAGATTGGCCCTCTGGGTGCAGCGTCTCTTGCTGACGAAATCACCGGTCCCATGTGTCACAGATAATCAATATACGTTACATTTATATAAAACAGAAACTGAGACTGCATGTGGAGTAACGCGCCTCTGCTTCTGGCACAGCCAGTTCTGCCTGAGACCCCCTTCTGGCCGGGTGCTGGGGAAGGAAGCCGCAGACCCAGCATTGCGTTAGCATCTTAACTGAGCCAGACCGATGTTCTGCTTTTGCTGGCAGAGTTCCTTGCTGAAGCTCCAAGCCGTGGAAACTGATCTGTGCTCTGCCTTTTCGACACACCAGGAAGAAGCTGCGCAGGTGCACGGAGTCAAGGAACCAGCCCCAGCGTCCTCCCAGAGTGTACCTGCCGAAGGGGCAGGGGCCACAGGTAAGAGGCTGGGCTCGGGGTCCTCACCGCTGCTCTCAGGATGGTTTCACCCCGTGCTGCTTCCCCTGAACCTGGCTTCTGTGGGAAACACTGCCTGGTGTGCTGGGGAGCTGACAGGGAGCAGGGGGAGTTAAGACATGCTGGAATCTAGATCTTTTTCTCTAGCTGGGGACCAGAGCCCCCAGAAATGGTGTCAGGTGAAAAGGCAGCCGTCATAAGTGGTCTTCATTTTCCTATTTGGAGTCCTGTGATACACACGTGGCTTGTTTGTATCACTGGATTTAGATCATCTGGGCTGTGTTGAGACTCTCAATATTTTTGAGGAGTTAGGGGAGTTTTAACATTGCTTGTTAGGTGATCCATAAACCCTGGGAATGTGGAGGTGAGTGATGTGGCTTCTTCTAATCCTATAGTGTCTTGTTCTGTCTCATTTTTTTTTTTTTTAAGCATTAATTTTTGTTTGGGAAAGTCTCAAACTTGGGTCTCATTTGTCTGTTAGTTTCTCTGGTTTTAATCTCGCAGATATTAGGTTGGCTAGCAAGCAGAAGGTGAACAGATGCTCCCAGGAAGACTTCAGTAGGAAAGAAAAGTAAATTAACTTGAGTAGAAATGAGATCACAGAATATCTTTTCTAACACCAGTGGGTCAGAGGTTTGCAGACTGATTTCTGCTTGGATGATAGAAACAGGTTTAGGTGAGCTTGCTTCATGGATCCTATCTCTAGGAACTGAAGGAAAAGATTTACAAAGGTAATGCATTTTAGTACCATTAGCAATAGTGGATTGAAGACCTTACTGTTTAAATCAGACCCACGTGGTCTAAGTAGGCAAAACAGTCATCTTCAGTGTTTAAATATGTATTAGTGGGTAATAATAGCTATTAGTAGTAGCCAGTATTATTGTCGAAGACTTTCTATGCCCAGGCACTGTTGTAAACTTCATAGTTTTTAATTTAAACCCTTAAACCTGTGAAATAGTACTATTCATAGAAAGGACACTGAGGCTTAGTGTGACCCTACTTGTAAGTGATAAATTATTTCCCTATGTATGTAGGTGGCCAGTTGGTTGTCTTGTTACGTGGTGAGCTCCTCGGCTTTGTTGGCCATTGTGTTTGGATGAGATACAAGTAAAACTGGTCAAGAGCCAATGCTGAGCCAATTAGGGATTTGAGTCAAATGATTAGACAATGCTCTTCTTCCACCAACCCCCTATTCCACTCTCTGTAAACAAGCAACATAGAGACACAGAGAGAAGTCTCAAGCCAAGTACAAGTTAATTTTTTAATATCTGATGTTCACAAGTATCTGATAAGGACCATTCAATATAATATTTGTTGCATGTTGGATATGTGTATGTGTGTGTGTGTATATATATATAATATTTTATCATGACTTTTGTGTGTAAATGTATTTTATTTTTTCCAAAGGTTGGTAGTAGTTTTATATTTTCTCACTCTTGATGGACTGGATTTTGAACCAACTTATTAATACATTCTTTATAAAATAAAGATATGTACCTTGGTGGCTCAGTCGGTAAAGAATCTACCCGCAATGCAGGAGACCTGGGTTCAATCCCTAGGTCGGGAAGATCCCCTGGAGTAAGAAATGGCAACCTACCCCAGTATTCTTGCCTGGAAAATCCCATGGACAGAGGATTATAATGGCGGGCTATAGTCCATGGGGTCCCAAGAGTCAGAAATGACTTAATGACTAAACCACCACCACCACTGCATTTATGTGGAGATCGCCCATATAAAGGAGCCATCAACATATTCCGTCTTAGGTGTCAAATAACAGGAATGGGCAGAAGCTTCCTTACAGAGGAGCCTTGTGGGCTGGATGTTGGATTTTCTAAAATGTAGGTAAATCTGAGATATCCCAGTACTTCCAAGAGAGTTTATGAAACAGAGAAGTTTCCACTCTGTGTGTTGGTGTGTCTGTGTGGGCACACTTGTGTGTGCATACACACACACTGGGCAGGGACAGCTCCTGCAAGTTTGCAAAGATAAAACCCATCTTGATGCTTTTGGCCTTTGCAGAGCTTATGCATAAGGAGTCTCATTTAGCTAAATCGACTGCATGGGAGTCGATGCAGGGAAAGTGAAGTCCCAGCCACTGTATTGGGCCTTGACACATGGTTCCTCTAATTTTCTTTTTTAAAAATCCCGTTGACACAATCTAGAAATCGCATACTAGATGCTTTCAGGGATGTAAGGAGCCTCTTCATGTGGTAAGAATGTTGCCAAAGTGATGAGCGTTTCAAAGAGGCTTTCACAGTTCAATTTATGGGGTGGTTTGGTCTCACTGGCTTCCAAGACACACTCTTAAAGGAAGGCTATACATGTTCTAGTCCACGTGTCACTCAGAAGGGAGAAATTTATGTTCATATTACATCAGCAGTTCTTCACTCTGGGCCTATGACTGGGTTTCTGGCGTGATCTCTGAACTCCTGGCAACTGTAGTTATGTGCATGCATAAAGCCCCGATGATAGTGTGATAGCATAGATGAGCACAGATGCCGTAAGTCTAGAAAAGATTATGGTAACTTAAAATAATATTTTTCTCTTAAAGTATAGAATATAGCCCTGGGCCTTAGATGTCTGTAAATGTTGAATTAGTAATAGTTGATGTTAATATTTGGTATAACAAGGACAAAATCCAGCTAGTGATTTTTATAGAAATATCTGGATGGCAACTAATTAACCATTCAAAGCAAGCATTCACAAATATAAATCTTTGTGATTTATGTCGGTTTCAGTCTTACTTGAAATTTGATTTAAAGCATGACTCAAGTTGTTTATTTTTTTAAACATCAAAGTTAATTTTTTTTTTGGCCGCACCCTGTGGCTTGCGGGATCTTCTTTCCCCGACCAGGGGTTGCCTGGGCCCTCAGTAGTGAGAGCCTGGAGCCCTCATCCATGGAGCTCCAGACAGTTCCCTAAAGTTGTTTACCATTTACGGAGAGCATCTGAAATGATGGTCTGAGCAAAGTTTTGTATTCTTTATGTCTTTGACCTTAAATCGAAATATTGTTTTAACTTGAATTTACAGAATACAAAGATTCATCTCATCTAGCAAAATATCTGTGATCCTCCCTGTCTAGAAATGCAACTACAAACTGCACTTGCAGCAAGAGCAGATTTTATGACACCCTGAAGGGGCACTGTGTTCTAGAATGTGTTAGTGAACCTTCCCGCACATCACAGTTACCAGGAAGCTTTTATACTGGGGTTTCTCAGTCTTCATCTCTAGACACTCTAAGGTTCGAAGTCCTAGAGTCTTTATATTTCATTAGCGTTTTCAAGTACTGGAAGCCACTATTTAAGTGGACAGTATCTTAAATTATGAGAGTGAAAAGGTCAGGTTCTCTTAGCTTCTCTTTGACTTAGTTTCATCGTCAGGAAGAAGCTTACAGACCACATGGATTTGCAGGGTCTGTGAGCAGTTGGCTCAGTGCGTTTACTTCAGGAGGAGAAAGGTGCTCAAGCTGGAGTTCGAGATGGGCAGGATGGGGACAGATCTGAGGGAGGTAACGATGTTTAGAAAAAAGTGATAGAGTGGTTGCCAGCTTCCGGGCAACTCCAGGACTGTGTAGAGGGTCACCGACTGCCCTGGTTTTAGCACTAAAAGTCCCAGTGCTGGGGGATCCTCAGTTCTGGGCAGTCCAGGACAGTTGGTCACCCTGTCTGTGGGCTGCAAACTGCATAATGTGAGATGGAAAGCCACACAGTACTGGGGGCCCAGAATCCCTCTTAAAGCTGAAGCAGACGTTTCCACCGGACATTAAAAAGCTCCTCTTCTGGTGGTGTTGATTGGAAAATGGAATGAGGATTGTCTTTTCAGCTTCTCATCGTTTTCAACATGTGTAGAAACAGCATTTGACATTGTGCCACATGACTAAGTATAGTAATGCCTGTTCTGTTTGAGCACAGGTGATGGAGTTTTTAGTATAAGCTATCACTGGAGACTTATTACTAGAAGTAATAATTCCAGGGACTTCCTTGTTGGTCTAGTGGTTGAGCTTCCATGCTTTCACTGCAAGAGACACAGGTTTGATGCCTGCTTGAGGAACTAAGATCTTGCATGCTTGGCCAAAAAGAAATTCCAAAGCAATACATAGTTAATTATTTTATTCTAAAATCTTGATTTTCAAGTTGAAATTTCCATTTGGCTAAGAGCCTTGTTGCTAATGTCGATTGTTAGACAATGCTAATGTCATCTATCTAGCTGCTGCTGCTGCTGTGTGCTCAGTCCAACTCTTTGTGACCCCATAGACTGTAGCCTGCCAAGCTCCTCTGTCCATAGAATTTTCCAGGCAATACTGGAGTTGGTTGACATTTCCTACTCCAGGGGGTCTTCCCGGCACAAAGACTGAATCTGCATCTCTGGTGTCTCCTGCCTTGGCAGGCAGATTTTTGACCACTGCACCACCTGGGAAACCTATATCTAGGTACAGTCTGTAATTATTCCCAAAAGAATCCTGCATGGTCTGCAGGTTTCTTTCTAATGTTGGAGTTGAAATGGGGCAGAGTCAAAGAGAACCTGACCTTCTCTGTCATATTTCAAGACACTATCTATTTGACCAGACATTCTCACTTGGCAGGGCTTATTAAATGTACAGTTGTCTGGGCTGTCCACCATAAGATACAAAATTAAAGTGTATAGATGAGGCCTGAAAATCTCCATGTTTGCAAAGCTCCTGTCGATGATTCTGATGTTCAAGGAGATTCAGGAACACTTGTGGAACTCAGTATTCCTAGGGTACCAGGTGCAGTTTATAATTGGGTTTCAGGAACATGGAGCACCTCAGGCCTCCCACGAGGTGGGTCTGATCACCCACATAATGTCCCGTCCTATCTGGCAACAGCCCCCAGAAATAGTCTTTGAAAGTCAGTATGAGGGAGTCTTCAAGACCTCAACCTCATAAGTGCCCAGAACTCCAAATATCTTTCAGAAACTTCATACACTGAGTTTGTGTTTGTGTGTGTTAGTTCTAAATCCT